ATACAAATTAATGCCATTCTGTAGGAAAAAAATAGCTGAATGATCAGCAATAACACCCTTCAAAATCTGTAAATGTGAAGTGTGCTGAGTATCAACCAAGTTCCAGGCCTTATTAGGCACTTTTACTTTAGTTAATTATTTTCCCTCACAAAATTTCTGGAAGGTATGTGACTCACCCGCTTTGCAGAAATATGATTGAATCTCAAGGAAATGGCATGTCATGTGTCACAGGTCTGAGACTATAAAGTTCTTTGAATGTAAAAATCTTGTACTCCTTTCATTTCAGCATCCTGGCAGTTCTGCAATGCATGCAGTCACATGAGAAATTTCAAAGATAAGGATTATGACAAGATCATTACTACGTATCAATTTGCTTCTAACAAAACCTTGTCTGGACAGATTAAGCTTACTACCATCAAATAGCGCCCAAGGCCTAGAACTTACAGTTGGAGCTACATAAAGATTTACCAATACAAGTTATTGTTGCCTGCTACTGTGGATGCAGGGGTGAACTTCGCCGTTGGTGAGCGTGTAGGCCAGTGCAGCAACTACAGAAGCAAATATGGAGAGTGCTAAGACAACTGAGAATTGATCTAGCATATGATCCAACTATCTCACTTCTGGGAATATATCCAAAGGAAGTGAAATCTGCATATGAGATATATGTACATGAATAAAGAAACTGTGGTGCATCTACTCCATGAGATACTACTCAGCTATTAAAAATAACGAAATTGTACCACCTTTCACAAAATCTTCCCAACTAGAAGCCATTATGCTCCATGAAATAAGCCAATCCTAAAAGGACAAATATATATTCTCTCTGATATAGGGCAACATTTCTTCAAAATAGAAAACAAGTAGATAGGAACAGGAAATCCCTGAGCCCATGGAGCTGTATCATGAAACATAATTTTGAAAAAAGAACTTACATCGCAAAATATGGATTTGTAGAAAAATATTAACATTCATATATTCTCATCATGAACTGTGTAATGGAGACTAGCATATCAGGAAGTGAAGATAATTGTACTATACAACTCTACTGTCAAATAAAAGAAGTCTCCCCATGAAACTAAAATATAGCTTGATATTATGATACTAGATTTGCTACTTTTTCCTATACCTACAATGCCATGATACACTTAAATAGCAGAATGTTGAACTTGTGACTGTTGTAACAATATGAGGGAAAATGGTGTGGGGGAGAAATGGGGAGGAGGAAAAAGAGATGGAGGGGAGAATCCTTATAGCTACAAAATCATATGGAAAATAATAATGATAATTTAAGAATACAAAAAAAGTTACTGTTGAAGGCATTGGAATTTGCTACCAAAATCAATGACTATTTCACTCAATGCATTTCAAATTTAACTGACAATTTTATCACACTGACTCTGCTCTTTTTTTTTTATTAAAGTATCATTTTCAGACTGGTGCAACAGCTCAATGGCTAAATCCCCATTTTACAACCACCGGGATCCCATATGGGGTCCAGTTCACATCCCAGCAGCTCTAATTCTTATTCTGCTCCCTCATTGTGGCCTTGGAAAATAGTAGAGGTTCACCTAAAGCCTTGGGACCCTGAACCTGTATGGGAAACCCAGAGGAGGTTCCTGGCTTCTGGCTTTGGATTAGCTGAGTTTTGGCCATTGTGGACATTTGAGGAGTGAACCAGCACGTGAAAGATATTTGTCTCTCCTCTCTGTAAATCTGATCTGCCTTTCAAATAAAACAAATAAATCTTTTTTAAGATTTATTTATTTTTATTACAAAATCAGATACACAGAGAGGAGGAGAGACAGAGAGGAAGATCTTCCGTCCAATGATTCACTCCCCAAGTGACCACAATGGCCAGTGCTGAACTTATCTGAAGCCAGGATCCAGGAACTTCTTCCAGGTCTCCCACACAAGTGCAGGGTCCCAAGGCTTTGGGCCATCCTCAACTACTGGATGGCAAGTGGAGCTGCCAGGATTAGAACCAACGCCCATATGGGTTCCCGGTGCGTTCAAGGCAAGGACTTTAGCTGCCAGGCCCCAAATAAAACTTTTAAAAAAGAAAAACCAAGTGTTCAAAAGTATCATTTTCAATAGTCCATGCGTGTACACAAGCCCTACACACGTGAACACACACCAATTGGATATGAGCAAGAGCAGGGACAACACAACTCAAACAACTCTTGTTTTATGTTTTGAAGGTTGGAGTTAGTTCATACTGGTTTATTTATTTTTCAATAATTATTTTCTGAGTTTGAAGAAATTTTGAACCTCCTGTGCTACAGATTGTATACAAAGAAAGCAAAAACATCACATAGCCCACAGATGTGTTGAGAAGAAAAACATTTAAAGCTTTGATCTGGATTTTTATGCTAAGCATGAATATTTGAAAAGAACTGACTACAACGTAATTGACTACTTAGGGGAAGAAGGGAAGTCAAGTCTTTTTTAGCTGGGGTTCAGATGTGCGTTGTGAGCAACCAGAGTTCTATTCTGATGTCTGTGCTGCAGAACTTCATGACTCATCAATTCTTTTCTCCTCTGCTGCCATATTAGACATCTGCTTCCCTACTAAAACGTTTGGGAGTCAATTGGTCCCAAAGACTGAGTATCTATAAGGGTCCTTCCAATGTGTGTTGGAAAATGCAATTAAAAGATCGGGCTCATTCTTTTGTGACTTTTTCAAGGCTCTTCATGATTTTCTAACAAAATGGCGACTTTACTTGTGAGAAGTGGAAACAAAGGGCCAGAGGAGTCTCGTTTAAGGGAAAGAGGTAACAGGGGGAGTCATTAAGAGTCCAGGGGAGAAACTGTTCTTGGGCTACAAAAAGGCTTTTCAGTTTACAACAAAAATCCAATTCAACCTACAAATTAGCTTCACTCAATAGTAATGTGAAAATAATGTCTACATTAAGCTAGGAAGTAAAATCATTCAATTAAGAAATTAAAAATATCAATATGAACTAAGAACTTTCTGATGGTAAACCTACAATAGCTCTTCTGTTAGTTTGTAAAATAAGTCCAGGAAATATTTTGATAGATTAATACCCAAATGAGTAGCAAGTTAAATTTTTCCCGCACAGTAATACAATCTGTTTTATTGAGTACCAAACAGAAGGTTGCAAAAATACCCGCTGGATAACAATCTCTTCTCTGTTAAGTTTTAGCAGGTGGAATTTCAGCTTGCCAAAAATTCAAAATTAGGAAACTGCTCTTCCAGGCATCTCCAGACTACTAATTCTTTACTTGGTGAACTGAAAACTGTAAGAATATTGTCTTTAAATATCTGATCAGCTCTTGAACCAATCCTTTGTTTTCCACTGCATTCCAAAGAAGTTTTTATGCTGGGCAAAGAACTCAACAATACACTATAAAATATTGAGGGCGGAATGACAGAATGTCACTAAATGTCAATCAGAAGATTTATAAAGCCGGAATCTTGCTTTTGCATATTTATCCAGTTTATTTAAAAGGCAGTCATGTGAATTACTGGATAAATCAAAGAGACGCATTCCTTTATTGAAGGAAATAAAGTAAAATAACTAGGCAACACAGAGATTCACTTCACTAAAGTTATTTTCTGCTACTAGTATGTCTTAAAATATTTTTATTAAAATATTAAATTTCCTTAAACAAAACAAAGAGGGGGCTTTTTTGCCCTTCATGTACACACATACAATCATAATTGCTATGTTAGCTCAATGAGCCATGAAGAGCTGTAAAACATTTAATATAAGACCACAGCGATTATTCACAACTGAATAATGAATTACGTGTCACACAATGCATGATAGTTATCTTTGTTGCTAAAGTTATAGCTGAGGAATTATTGGTCTCCCTTATCTGAAGGGCCAAATGTAGTGTGAGATCAAAGAAGGCAATAATTGTGCAGGAAACAACATCTTTTTTAAAATTCCTCTGAGAATGAAATTCTGATTTATAAAGTTCAAGATTAATAAGTGCTGAATATCCAACCCGAGACCAAACATTTTTAACTATTTTGGACAAGTCATTTGCAACAGATGCAAACACTAAAAAAAATTCCTCCTGAGGACTAAATGAAAGAGCATATGAAGCTACTTTCAGCCATTTACAAAGCATGGGAACAGTCCATACAACACATGCAACACTATTCCATAAATCCACTTCATTGACAAGAGAAGAAGACCCTTGAAGTCTACTCCAGAAGCCTGCCCGTCTGGTCCCTGCTGACTGATGACTCCCAATATTTTCTAAATCAGCATCCTTTTTTGACTCAAATGTAGACACAAAAAGCACTTGAAGCAGATTGATGCTCGGTTCAAATCAGCAGCTAGTCATTGACTCAGGACCAAGCTGGATTATTTTAACCCCTTACCAAGGCAGGCCAGCAAAGAAAACTTTTGAAACTCATTAACAACTGATTACAAGACATAATTTACTACTACATTTAAAGATCTCCAGAGGCAGGGAATGCCTCATCATTGCTCTCCCATCTTGCATGGAGTTCTCTAGCAAAAGCTTCACTCTCCAAAGAAAACTTTTGCATTTAAACTTCAATTAAGGGTAAATGAGAAATTACCACACAAAGATTTGTCCTGCTGGCCCCTTAAGGCCTGAAAAATCATTTGGTTTAGCCTTGCCAAGGCAACCAGAGGCAGAACTCGAAAATCAATAAAGCTATATAGCAGCCTAATTTTTTAGGCTGAAAAAATTTTATAGTCCTCAAATCATGTTATAAATATTCAAATAGCCCTGGTCAGGGGAAAAAAAAGTTCCCTACCCATGCAGTAAACACTTAAAAGTTAGGCTAGCCAAGAAGATAAAAAAAAAGATTAACAATGGTTATTAAATGATTAAATAATCCTTAGTTTCTTTTTAGTTTTTTTCTTTTTTTTTTTCCTAAATGAGTACAATAAGTATATATTACTTTTATAAAATCAGGGGAAACACTTAAGGAATATTTGTAATGGAGACTTTAAGTATAGATAATAGATGACTTTTCATTCCTCATTTTACTTACATTTATGTTCCCTTTCCAAACACAATCGTGTTTCTAATAGTTTCCATTTCTCTCTGTTGACTCTTTGGAATGTTCTATGAGCACTTGTGCTTCATTTGTTTTGCCTACCAATGGGAAAAAATGTGTGGCTTCATTGTCATGTGGCTCTACGTTAAGACTTTAGTAAGCAAGTGAGAATTTGGTCTCCCAAAGATGCCTACAGGATAAGAGTAACCAATACTTTCCTCCAGACTTAAATATGTAGGGTTTTATTTTTTTATTTTCATATTTATTATAAAGGAGATTATTATGGTCAGCTTTTAAGACCATTTACCTCCCAGTGAACTAAGAATGCAACTTTAATGCTAATTCCACATACTTCTTAGTACCCAGAAAAATCATTTCCAAACATCACTTCCTTTTCACATTTGGAAACTCTAATGATAATATAGCTGATGACAGTAAACATATAAACATTTACAATTATCAAACAAATCAATCATACAAAATGAACTATGAATCAGAGGTTTGTTTCATACAAACCACTGACACATTTGAATAACATTAGTGCTTATACTTACTTTGTTAGATACTTTAATATAGGTCAAATATTGTCCTTGAAGTTATCCATAACAGCTTACCCCCTGCAAGCCCCCCTAAACTTTTATAGCCCTACCTGGGGTTTGCTCATTGGTCCATGAACTGCCTTGTACCTCTGGCAGTTATATAAAAGGGGTGTTCAAAATGTCCTAGAAAATGTGCATTGGCAAGAAAATACACACTAATGGATTTCAAAAAATAATCTTATCTTTCATTGCATTTTCCCCACATTTATTTCTGAAATGTTTAATTTTTTTTATTTGAGATACAGACAGAATGACAAAGAAAGAGCCACAACACGAGCAAGAGTGAGAGAACTCCCATCTGCTACCTTACTCCCCAAATGCCCACAATGTCCACAATGAGGCTGGAGTCTGACGGAAGCAAAGCTTGGATTTAGGGACTTAATCCAGATCTCACACAGTGTGGCTGGAATACAATTACTTGTACTATTACCACTGCTTCCCAAGGCCTACGTTGACAGGAAGCTAGAATCAAGAAACTGAGCCAGCAATCAAATATAGGCACTGCAATGTAGTACATAGACATACCAATCAGTATGCAACTATTGGGCTAAAAACCCGTCATTCCACAAACTTTTTGAACTACCCTCAGCAATATCCCCATATTGTTTTTTCAAAAGGATTCTGTCATCATTATGCCACTTTTTTCAAGATCTACTAATTTACTTATTGAAAGGCAAAAAGCAGGGGGCAAAGGGAAGGGGCTAGGAACTCCCCAAATGCCTGTAATAGCTAGCACTCTGCAAACTAAGGACACAGTCTAGGAACTCCATCCAGGTTTCCCAGATGGGTGACAGACCCAAGCCTTTGAGTCACCATTGGCTGCCTCCCAGGTTCATCAACAGGAAGCTAGATTGGCAGATGGAGTCAGGACTCAATCCCAGGAACTCTGAAATGGAGTGTGGTTGTCCCAAGCAGCAGCTAAACTTACAGCACAACAATGCCCATCTTGTTTACACCACATTTCAGTACTCCCTCCTTACCTTAATGCCTGCCAGCATGTTCTGCAACTGTCTTGTGGATGGTTGATTGGAAGGTAAAAGCTTAGCCTTACTGGATCAGTGCACCCACCCAATTTTAGTAGATCAAACTGTGGCTTTGCTGTCAGAGCTGGAGAGATGGTCGAGTGGAATCACAAGACCACAGGTTCCGTGTCCGGACAGCAGCGGCCCAACCTCCCATCTACCCTTGGATAAAGTGCTTCACCTTCTGGGGTTCAGTTTCCTGCTTTGTAAAAACAAGTACCAGAGCAGGTAAACTGGAAAGTTATTTCCAACTCTTAAATACTGTGATTCTACATGTTCAGCCCCTTGTTTGGGGATGTGACTCCCAATAAAGTGGCTACTCACTAAGATGAAGGGACTTAAATTCAAACTTGAATTAAGTAAAATCAGACAAAATTTAGTATTTAGATCCTCATTTGTATTAGCCCCATTTCACACTACACATGACTAGTGGCTAATGTATTTGATCACAGATAACGAACTGTCATACGGTGGCTGGATCCATGTTCTTGTCTCAGGTGCAAAGCAAGAACTAAAGGACAAGATGTAGGTAGAGGACATCAGATAAGCCAGATTTATTTGTATGCAGAGAAGAAGTACACACTCACAGAGGAGTGCCAACATGCTCAAGAGATGGCTGCACCCCATGAGGTTTGAGTCCATATATTTTTATGAACTGAAGACTTAAGGAGGCAGTTTGGGTGGGACTTGGCTGCTACCCATTTCTTTGTCCTCTTTTGGAAAACTTGGAAATGTCATGGTGTCAAGTATGCCATGGGAATAGATGAGTCAGCAATGATAATTGCTCAGACATGACCTTAGACAAGAACTGAAGGTCATTATGAGTCATAGGCAGCTACCATGTTGGTTGTTTTTAGCTGCCACCAATTGCAAGCAACAAAGTTATGGAAGCCAGAAGCTTCAGATTTTCCTGCAAAGATGAGAATTAAAGATTTGGACATGCAAATGGGGCTGCAGTGCAGGTGAACTTGGAGGAACCCCCAGCTCCTCCTTACTAGACATCTCCCTCTTGCCAATAACCTCCCTGCCCTCATCGAAACATGTCTTTTCTGTTATTACCAGAAGTTGAAGTGTAAAGACCTAGTGTAGAGTAATATTTTAAAAATCAGTGTTTTCTTTCTCATGGTAGTTTAACAGATCCAGTTAAATTTGTTACCCTCATTGTTAATTTTAATATTCAGGTCCATATATTACAAATGCAACATTTGCAAACTACACCTGTCTTTTGTTCTGGGAAAATGTAACCAAAAGCATCATGGGTTTGCAGCAGCAAGTGGAACAGTAGAAGCCTAAGATTACCATTCCCATAGAAGTTCCCTAGTTGCTGGGCTGAACTGTTTCCCCACGTCCTCACACCTGACAATTTCCTGTATGCACACCTGTGTGGGAAGCCATGCAGTTGGGTCGGGTGGCATGGGTCTGTGATGAGCACCACTCCTGGGTTTAGCAAGGCTACAAGGAGTTTCTGGCTGGGTGGCAAAGCCTGGCAGAATGTCTCTGGTAACCTCATTGCTGCCTCACCCCATTGTGTGGACACTCAATCACCTCTCTGATGTTTCATAGAATTCTCCTGAGGGTGTTGTTATTATTTTTCTGCTAATGTAAAATGATTCCTGTAACTGGCAAAACACCTCAAACTAATCAATCATGTTATGATAAAAATGTCTTTAGTGACATAAAGCAATGACACAGAGCTAAAAGCATACAATAGTACAATTGAGCCCACAATGCCTCCAAACATTCTGTTATGTGCCCACCTTTGTCTTGGAGCTTGCCCTGATATAAGTAATATTTTCCTTAAGAAACGGCTTGCTAATATCTTAGAACAGATGGCAATCAGGGAGGCACAAAGAGGTGTACCATGTGCCTTGAACTGTTATAACACATGATGTGACGTATTTTGATTTCTCACCATGGAAAGCAGAAAGTATATGGTTTGACTGGATTTGTGATCTGTTATTTTAGTATGTTCTGTTAGCCTGGTCCCTGTATACTGCTTTGATTGGACTTGTGATCTGCTATCTTAATATGTTCTGTTATCACCAAGCTTGGTTAACAAAGACTCCTTAATAAAACCTTAGTCATGTCTGGTGTGATCTCGCTTGCACCAATAACATCTTCTAAAGGGAGACAAATGTGAACCCCCCAAAAGTGGCTTAAAATTTCTACCTCATATTGGCACTTATATTTAGGGAAAGAAAACAGTTTATAAAGATAAAAGGAAGTTTCTTGTAAAGGCCCTTTGTTTGTAGATTGGCTGAGTTGCCCTGATCCCTTTCACTGCCCTTTAACAAAAGAACAAAAAACAATTGAATCAGCACTAGGTGAAGGTGGTGATAATTAATGCATGATCGATTATAGGATTTAATAAAGAATCTATGTTATATGCTCTTATAAATTCCTTTCATTTATGATCTTTTCTTTTAACTCTGTACTTTTGATATTTTAGGCAACATAATTTTGTGTTTAGTGAAAATTGATTTTGAATATAAGTAAACCACTTGTCACTATGTAACTGAATGTGCGGCCAACTTGGGAGTTTCTGGCTTCACCCAGGTCAGTGCAGGTTTGAATGAGTAATAGCTTACTGAAAATATTTTCTCTGAAGCAAAACAATAATCATATTTTTAGGATTGATTTTGTAATCATTCTTTTATAATGAAGTAAAAATGAAACAACTGGATGTTGTGCAAAAGCTTGTGATGATTTATGTATAAAGAAGGCAACTTTTCTGAGTTGTCCATTATGAGCATCATGCCATAGTGGTCCATGTCTCTTCTCCTTACCGTCTCGCTGATCCATGCATCCTTTGCAAGCTCTTGAGTCAGCCGGAACTGGTCTCCAGCACACCTGTGCTGTGCTATCTCTTGCACTCACATTCAAGTTCAAATTCTCCATGATACTTTTTACCATTAAGTCATGGCAACATCTAAAAGAACACCATCCAGATACAGCCATGTCAGCTTAGCAAAGAGCATCAGAATGGGAGGCTTAAAGAGTTGAATAAAAATTAAAAAAAAAAAAGAGTTGAATGAGGAACCTGCGCCTTAGCATAGTAAGCTAAGCTTCTGCCTTCAGAGCCAGCATCCTATGTGGGCACTAATCCAAGCCCCAGCTGCTCTACTTCTAATCCAGCTTCCTACTTATAGCCTGGAAAAGCAACAGAGAAATGGCTGTGTTCTTGGCCCCCTGCACCCATGTGAGATACCTGGAGGAGGTTCCTGGTTCCTGGTTCCTGGCTTCAGATTCGCCCAACTTCAGCCACTGCAGCCATTTGGGGAAGTAAATCAATGGGAAAGACATGAACCAGAGAAACTGACAGAAGGATTCCTCATTTCCCAGCGCTAATAAAAAGCACTTCTGAAAATTATTCATAACCGAAAAGTATTCACAGCCAAACATTTCACCCAAGCAGTTGTCATGGGCTCACATTCCTCAAATAATTCACTTTTTATAACTTCTAATAACCTATACAGA